GGAAACCAGGTTACGGTTTTTTTTTTGAAATTGGTTTTTTTTTTGGGGGGAACCAATAAGGGTGTTGGGGAGGATCTTTTTGGGGGGGGTGGAGAAACTTCATTCGGGGAAAGGGGGGATGTTCGCACCAGGTGGTGTTAAAAGGGTAAAGTTTCTTGGGGGAATTTACAAAGGGTTTAAAATTTTTTTGGGAAGGAAAAGCCCCAAAAAAAAATTTAATTCATAGGTGGTTTTATTCGTTAGGAAAGGAAGTAAGCAAAAGATGCGGAACACCTTTAGAGGGAGGAAGTTCACCTTTATTGGGATTGGCAAAATCCTTCAGGGGGTTTCGGGTTGGGTAATGGGAGACCTGGTTCGGGGGAAAACCGGGGGTGTTCGTTCCGGGTTTTGTGGGGATGGGGGTTAAAGGTTAAAAGGATTAGGGAAGGCAGGTTTTGGGGTACCCCCCCCCCCCCCCCCCCCAGGAAATCTTTCCTCAGCACCAGACCTGAGAACCGCATATGATCAGAGCCACAGGCGTCAAGTTCATTGTTGACATGTCCTCCCATATCCTCTGCTACTCTCCCTGCCCACGCCCCTTTCGCCGACACACAGGACGGGCGGTTTGACAAGGCAGACCGCCTCTTCCAGTCTCTCCCCGACGCCTACCGATCGTGCACTCACAACCCAGGCGACGTAAAGGAAGCCATACCCGAGCTGTACTACCTGCCGGAGCTCTTCGTCAACGCCACTGGGTTCGACCTCGGCTGCACCCAGGCCACCGGAAAGCCGGTGGGAGACGTGGAACTCCCTCGGTGGGCTCATGGAGACCCGTGGGAGTTCGTGAGGCGTCATCGAGAGGCGTTGGAGAGCGAGCACGTCAGCCTGCGGTTGCACCGGTGGATCGACCTGGTTTTCGGCTATCGGCAACTGCCGCCGGCGCTGGACAGGGGTCAGCGCGGGGCCGTGGATTCTTGCAACGTCTTCTTTCACCTCACGTACCCCGGGGCGGTGGATTTACCGCGATTGCGTGAGCAGGATTCACAGGTGAAGTGCGGAGTGAATCACATGCAAAATTGGCCGTTGACTCCGCACTGTGTTACAAGTCATAGTCGGCATAGGCGTGACATCCGTGCGACGGGCTTCACGGCCGCTCCACGAGACGAGCGCACGTAACTCCTGTGGTATTTTGTAACGCTTGCGTCTTTCCCGTTTCACTTAGAGTTGTATTGTGTTAGACGATGTGGTTTTATCTAGACATGCATTACTGATTACGTTTTTTCATGGACTGTAGGGGATCGATCGCAAATGACCTTGAACAGGTCCTGCTGTTTTTTTTTCTGGTATTACCTCCGCTGCCTCGATCCTTTCTTCCGTGATGAAAGACATGAATCCCTTCGTATTACCTCGTACAGCTCAAAGCCCCGCACCCTTGTACCGCCAAACCTTCTCTATCTTTCCGGGCCTCGCCGCCGGTGCTCCCCCACGCTTCGCTTCTCTGCCCACTCGCGCTCTATAACAGCTCTACGAGTCGACGATGAGGCAGATCGAAGAGTTCGGACAGGCCCCAGCTCAGCTGTTCAAGTCACCCCACCCTCGTCGCCTCTCAATGGCAGAAGCAGAGGTGGTGCGACCCCTAGCAAGCCCTGTCCCGGGGTCCAACACAGAACCGCTTGCAGAGGCAAACATCCCCTCGGTGACTGGCTCTTCTGCGGGCGTAGCCGCCGAAGTTGACGGCGCTTCGGCGGCGAGGATGGGAACGGCGCCGCCGCCGCGTTCACACAACGTGGTGAGCTATCCGAGGGAAAGTGTCAGCCGGGGCGCTGTGCTAGTGGTCACTGACCTACTCCCCTGGGCAGAGCGCCTCGTGACGGTAGATACACGCCGCGCGATCGGGTTCCACGGATGGCGCACCCTGCCTCCGGAGAGAAGCCCGCCTTTCCGACTGCGGGCAGAAGCGGTAGAGGTGGGCGACGACCCACGGGAAAATGACGGAGGAAGGATCTCGGGAGACAACGGCGGCGGCGGTTTGGTGGGCGCTGGAGGAGGAGGGGCAGGACCACGGGGGGCGGGGAGTATTCCAGTGCGCCGCTTTGGCGTGCCGTTCGCCCCCGATGGGGTGGCTTCTTCCAGGCTGCTCGAACCGCCGCCCCTTGACGGCCGCTGCGGCGATTATGGCCTAGGCGGTGATGACGACGGTGATGTTGTCTTCACCCGTCCGCTGGGAGGTCTCGGAGGGTCCCACGTCTCCCTTGCTTCCATGGGATCGCTCTTGTCCCTCCCTCAAGCTTCTGTGCCGGCTTCTCAGCCGCCACAGCAGCTTTCGTATCCAGAGGACCAGCACGCGAAGGCGAAGTCGTCCTCGTGTTCGTCTTCGGGAGGGCCGCCGCTAGATGCTTACGACGGCCACCACCACGACGATCGGCAGCAAGACCATGAGCCGGCCGGCTCCCCCGTCCCTGTTCACACAAGGGGTGAAGGCTGGAATCGACGTATCGGTGAGGGTGTGGGCGGCGGTGTGGGCCTTGGGTCGCACCTATTCGCCATCCTCGCGGAATCTTACCTGCTGTTCAGCGGCGGCCATTGGGACTCGTCGTTCCGCGCCACAGCGCTCGACACGGGGCGGCTTGTGGTCTCGATCGCGCGTCACCGCGACGTGGTAACGAGCCTGTCTTTAGCCGACGGAGGCAAAGGGTGCCGGAGACTCGTGACGGCATCGAGAGACACCACTCTTATGGTGTGGAGGGTAGAAGACACTGCCGGGGAGCGAGCCCCCCCGGTGTCGCCGTCTTCCCTCCTTCATGTCCTTTACGGGCACGACACTCCGGTGACTTGTGTCTGCGCCCGGGCGGACCTGGACGCCATTGTGAGTTCCGGTGAGGATGGCACTGTTGTGGTGCACACCCTATGGGGGGGGGAGTACGTGCGAACGATAACACCGCAGGGCGACGCTTCGCCGACTGAACTGACGGCCCTCGACGCGTCTGGGCTCGGCAGTCTTGTTGAATCTGCGGAAAACGGCCGACATGGAGATGGATGCAGCAACAGGGTCCGAGACGATGAGGAGGAAGGCACGACCTCGCGCAGCTCACGGTGCCCCGGGGTAGACGGTGCGGCAGCGACGCCGACAAAAGTGTTCAGGGGCAGAAACCTGCCCCCGCCGTGGGCCTCTGTAGAGTGGGTTGGACTGTCGGCGGCTGGCTATGTCGTTGCTTACTCACCAGCAGACGCAACCCTACGGTCTTACACTGTTAACGGGCACCCGTTGGGGGCGGTACAGGTGACGAAGGCAGAAGCGGGTCCGCTGCGGGCGTTTGTGTTTTCCGAGGACGGCACGGTGTTGTTGTCAGGTGGCCACGATCGCGTCGTAACCCTGCGTTGGGCGTACAGTCTTGCCCTGGCGGACGACGGCAGCCGGAAAGGGTGTGGGTTGGCCGTGCTTGATGGGGCCGGCCCCCCATTGGCTGGGGTACCCGCCGCAAGCGCGGGCGTGCCGAAGTTTGCTTCTGCGGTGCGAGCTCTGGCACTGACTGCCGGGGAACGGCACTTGTTGGTGGGCCTAGAGGATGGGACTCTTGGTGTTTTGGCGCTGGACGCCAACTATCTACGGCAGCGGTTACGCTCCAAGCTTGACCAGTTGGGTATTTGAAAGCACGAGAGGCAGGAAGAGATGATGCCTTGCTGGCGGAACTGGTGGTTAGTTCCTTGAGCTGTGCGCGTGTGTGTTGGCGCTCATGTTTGCTGCCAGGCCAGTGCAACCGTAGTGTTGGCGGCGAAGACCGGCCGCTAAAGGAGGGAACAGTCACAGGATAACGGGAGAGGGTAAGGGTGTCTTTTAAAGTGGGCGTTTTGTTGACGACGCAGAAGTTTGGGTGCTGCAACCCTGTTTTTTTTAGCTCGGTTTCAGAACGTGATGGTGGTTCCTCATCATGTGACGGGTATTTGATGTACGTAGTAGGAGCACCATGCGTGTGCACACATATGCGCGTGCCCATGGACGATCAAAAGGTGTAATTGGTAAACGCTTGTATTTTGTGAATAATAAACGGTAGCTTCAGCGATAGATTCATGTATCACTGTGTTTGTTGTTATCTTCAAACACGCATTGCTGTTGTTAATGTCTTGCGCAGAATATTTAAGTGTGTGTATGCTTCTGTCGTAGTATGTACAAGGTGTTCGGTCTTGTTCTTCTAAGCGAGTGTTGTGTCATTTGATTGTACTTTGTGTTGTGTTTGATTACGTCTGTAACGTCTTCCTCACACCCACATGTTGTGGAGGGGGCCGACCTGGTTGGTGGACAGCCTGAAGATGAGCAGGCCCAGGCCTCGTGGGGATACAGATATCGTGCATTATTATTATTGTGTTTGAAGGAGGCATACCCATTGTTGTTTGATTCAGCCTGCGAGTCTTATTCATAGGTCCTTGCGTGTTTTGCTTTTTCGCCCGCTGGGTTTTTGCATTGTTGTTGTGAAGGTTATTTGTCGGCAGTGGGCGTATCGCGGTGTTTCGAGGTCTATTTTTTTCGTACCATGCGTGGGAGTCTGTGGCTGCAGAATTTGTGTGTGTTCTTCGAGTACGCAAGAAGCGGTATCAGATGGAGGCCAGAAAGAAAGTGAAAACAGTTATCATCATATACCAACACCGCACCACCACCGCCGCCACCACCACCACCACCATCCACAACGCAGTGGTACCATCCCGTCGCCAAAATAAAACGCTGGCATTGCACGTACGACCGCGGCGTGGTGGCGGCGCCGCCTTTCCACTTTCTGAGCGCCCCTGCTCCGGTCCACCCGAATCTCCGTCCTGCGTTCACCGTGCGATACTCACACCTTTCACCTCGCCCATCTTTTCAGATCAGGTGCAGGCGGGGCAAGTGCTCCCAGGCCCAACACAGCACGGTAGTCACACCACAATACAAACTGGTCACGTTGCGGTTCACATCGATGTGCAATAGTCGCTACCCCAGTACGCCTCGACAGGACCTCCATCGGTTCCAACCCCAGAGCATCTATCCGCTGCCTTGCGTTCCCCCTTGTCCTGTCCAATAATACTTTCTCCTCCTACTGCCGCCGTAGCGGAGTGCGCGACGTCCTTGGCGGTCTCGCTTACAGCTGCCGCTGCTGCCGATACTATATCACCTGCCCTCGTTGCTCGTGCCCCGATATCAACACAGCTCTGGCGGAAAATGTGCATTGCCCGCCGAGCACTTTCCCTTTTTGCGGACAGCAGGACAGGTCCATGAATGGTGCGGTCGGCGGAGATGCAGCTGCGACGAAGCGCATCAGTCGATATCATATCAGGGGGGCACCCGTGGTTGTTTTGAACTGGCTCACACGGCGACGATGGGCATTCCTCCTCCTCTTCTTTCACCGGAAATACCTCGTGCCGTGACCGGGAGAAATTGAGGTTCGTGTTAACATTCGCGTTCTCGGTGCCACCCGAGAATTGCCTCCCCCTCCATTGCACGCATGCCTGTTGGTGGTTGTTGTCGTTATTCGTGCGCCTGGCGAGCCTGATCTCGAGGTTTCGGATCTGTTTGGCAGCATGTAGCACGGCATATTTTCGGACACAGCGTGGTGGCGCCGATTGTACAAGGGGTTCATTGCTTGAATTGGAGACAACAACGTAAGAATATAAAGACTGGATCGATGCATAATAGATCGGTCAATGGACTACACGAAAGAGTGTACTTGGATATACATAGTCTACCAGACTTGCATCGCACGAGTACAAAAACATAAACCAACGCTCACCTAGCCGGTGATCGAACCAGCAGAGGAATGGGGACCGTTGCATACCAACAACTTCGGTACGACATCGACGTTGTGGGTACGTTCGCAAACGCGAGGAAAGGAAGTTCTCGCAGACACGAACAGGTTTGGCGCCTTTGAAAACGTACTGCAGTCCTGCTTGCCCCACATTCACGTCAGAGGCACATTATCACCACGACCCCTATTGAACCTCTTACAGTTTCTGACCTGGATTTCTTTGACCTCACGAGACACCTCGGCCGCCCGCGCTCGCTGCGTGACACTCGCAATGGTAGCCTCTGCGGCCGCCTGCCGAAGTTCCGCTTGACGAAGATTCTCCTTCAAGTGGACGATTTCCTCCCGTAGTAGACGGTAACTCCCCGTCCTGTTCCTTTCTTGTTCATCATCGTTGTCGACAACGCCCGAGAATTTGCCATGGCCCCCATCATCATCGCTATCGACATGCTGAGGTAAGTCGTTTGAATCACTGGTTGCTTCGCACCCCGTTCTGTTCGCTGCGAAATGGTTGCTTTCTGCCGACCCTGCCGCTAAGAGCTGGGCTTCGTCGGCGGCACTCAAGACGTCCTCCACTGGCCGAGTTGCCTCCACGCTTAGCCTGCCTGTGGAGCATGAAGAGGCTGAGGAAGACGATTCGTTCACTGCCTGTGTTTGCCATTGGCCGTCAGACTCATGATCGACCTCAATCGGTGGCACTCCCAAAAAAAGCTGTTCTCTGGAGTTTGCAGATGCTTGCGTGGTGGCGGAGTAAGAGTCTTGGTGTTCTGTTGATTCTACTGGTCGCGATCCTGCTCCCCTGGTGTCGTCGCCGCCGCTATCCAAATGAGCATGGAAGGATCGCATCGAGGCCAGCTCGTACTCGGCTTCGAAAGCTCGAAGCTGCCACCGACGTCTATCTTGGACAAGATGAGTGATATGGCTCTCCTCGATGTCGTCGCTGTCTTGATCATCACCACTAGCAGAAGCCGCCAAACGAGCAAGGTCAGGCGACCCGCTGGAGGAGTCCTGCGCGCTCTCTTGGTCGTCACCCGCAGCGCTAAGTCCGGCAAAAATCCCAGAGCAAGAGAGATCAGAAACCGTATCAAAGGTCCCCCGTGTGCTTCGAGACAACTCACTGCCATTAACGTCGTGATCAGCCTTCGAACCATAGTGGGAACTGTGCGCTGTACGGCTTCCGCCGCCGTCCGTTTTCGTCGAGTTTCCATCCGCGGCGGTATCGTCATCGTGAAATTCGACGGCCTCATCATTTTCTTTTTCAAGCTGCGAGTGCACTACTTGGTCGTCTTGGGCAGGTCTTGGGGACCAATCTTCGCCGCACCGCGACGGCGACGATAGGCTTCCTCCAGTACTTTGTATGGCCGTGCGACTCTCACTTTTCAGGCTTGCAGTGCCAGTATCAGGGAAGAGGTTATTGCGGACCAAGCGCGTCCCCAAAACATCGCTCTCGGAGCCATTGCCATGGGTCGACAAGGTCTCGGTCGAAGCACCACTACCGCCCTTGTTGGTACTCTCGCTGCTTGAGGTGCTGCTGCCCCGATGTGGTTTGTTCGTTATCGCTGCATCGGGGTAACTTCTGGTTTCTCGCACGTCCCTTGGCTTATTACCATGGTATCCACTACCACCGCCGGTCATCCCTCGGCGCTCAGCACAGGCCGTTTTCGAACCTGTTTCCGTGTGTGTCAGTTCGTACGCCGGATCGAACAAACTGTTGAACCCATTTTTATCTGAAAAAAAACATCTGACGCAAACGTTTTCACCATTGGTTGGAGTTCAGGCTCTACACAAACCACCTGCAGTTTGCCTTGTTGCGTCTGTGCGACTGCTTGTGAAAAGCGATGCAAAGCAGTGCTGTAGTGCAAATGACGTGTGTGTGCTGTCTGGCGTTGTATGTACCGTGCGCTTATCAGATTACTATCTGCTCTTCCTGTAGTGTCTACAGGACGCCCCTACGGCTACAAGCAAGGGACCCTCCTAGCCGAGGCTCTCATCGGCTGTTGTTGCACTGTAGAAGAAGTACGTTGTTGTTGGTGACCTTTGAAATCCAAATTGATCGTCAGGGTAATAATACAACGTTTTTCCTCGAACCAATCGCACACTACTTTTGTAGTACCAGTGGGTTGTTTGAACGGTGAAAGGTACGAGTCAAGAAGAAAGCTGGACACTCTTGGTTCAGGCTCGGCCTGTGGCCCAATCACCTAAGCGCTGTGCCATGGTGTTGCATACACTCACGTGAATGCTCTGATCCCGCTGTTCCGGACACACACATGTTTCACGGGTTACGTTGGCAGCACATTGCCGGCGTCTCAGGTACATCTGGTCTATCTACAACGCATACTACTACCCGGTAGAGAGTTGAGCAATTTCTCTTCGTCTACTGTCTCTCTGCCTCCTCCTCTGGTTCTATAGATATAGTAGATGCCAGCCTGCCGGTGTAGCCTTGTCTGCCTGTCTTCGGTGTTGTTCTTACTATGTAGCAATCCGATCGCGCTGTCTGTCTGTCTGTCTGTCTGTCTGTCTGTCTGTCTGTCTGTCTCTGTCTGTCTGTCTGTCTGTCTCTCTCTCTCTCTCTCTCTCTCTCTCTCTCTCTCTCTCTCTCTCTCTCTCTATCTCTCGAGTACCACATTAATTATTACATGCACAAACCTATCATCCCATACCTGCTGCTGCAGCTGCTGCTGCTGCTGCTGCTGCTGCTGTTGCTGGCGTAAGCTTCTTGGGCGATAAGAGCTTTCCGTCCCAGTTGCTGCTGTTGGCTAACCAAGCCAACCGTTGTTGAATAACCAAGCTCCTGTCTAACTTGGTGGATTTGTTTCTTCCCGATCCGGACATCCCGTGCGAGCCTTAGTTGATGTGTTCTGCCCCAAGGAGGAACAGTCGGATCAAATATCGCACGGTCTGCTCGCCTTTCCACCGTACTACGGCGGTAGATCACAACCAAAGATTCGTACCTGCGGGTGCAAAGATCTGCAAAGATCCGCTGCCGCGTATCTTGCCGCGTATCTTGCGTCAAGACCTGGTGGGGGGGGGGGCACCGTGTTTGTGAGAATTCTTGTGTGAGGAGGGGTGTACAGTAGCCAGAAGAAAAAAAAATGTGCGGCGGCAGGGAACATAACGCGGAGAGACCGGTGAGAGACCGCGGGAGGACGTCCACATTCACAGTCCAGTGAGCTGGAATCTCTTCCCGGAAGAGATTCGCTCGCCTGAACCGACATGGGGCTGTGCTTGAGCAAACAGCGGGCGAAAGATGGAAGCGCCGACAGTGTTAGGTCGCATATGGTCAGGTACGAATGGAGTTTGGATAGACGACGATATGTTATAGTTGGTGTCGCAAAGCGTTTCGTTGACGACACTCACCGAAACACCCGACCAAGCCTTTGCTGTCTTACATGCCGCGTAGTCAGCAGGGCGGGGACAGTGCTGGCGCCCAGTGCAACTCTAGTTGCAGTTGCCTCCGTTAACTTTGACGTCTCTATTCACATTCGTCCTGGAGACACGAGAAAAAAACACCGTATTCCTCGGATGTTCAATATGAAGTTGCTGCGTCTGGGGCGTTCTCTCACAAAATGCACTTGTCTCTTGCGGTAGGGTATGCCCTACGTAGACTAGACTGCTCCGGTGCGGTAACTATTCATCCATATTTTCGTTGGCCGTTCATGCTACACGGAGGGCTATATAGCTGCGACACCCTGTGTGAAGTTGTGGATAACAAACCATGGGTGCGCGCATGTCATACGAACGTGGCACGCACTGCTTGTCTGTTCAACCCTTAGCGTACCCCACCGAAACGTTTGCTGTCGGCGAATGCGTGTGCAAGCGTCCCCCAACCTGTACCCTGTACCTCACCCTCCGCGTGTGATCCAAGAACGCTGTTGCGGTTGCAATGTACTCGCAGTCAGAACTCTTCCACCACCCCCTGCAACTAGTTTATCTCCCGAACGAACGTTCTGCAACGGTTCAGGGGAGCTGCTCGTGTTGGAGATATATTGAAGCAGAATGGAAGCACAGCAGTGTGGTCGCCCCCCTGTCACTGAAGCTAGGACTCCCTCATGTCTCTCTCTAGTTGCTCTTCCTTTCCGCGTCAACTTTCCCTCAGCAAACCCCTGTAGCAGAGGATGACGATATGTGCTCGAGAGTTGCACGGCGCTGATCGCCCGCGACCCGGTCTCGAGTATGATACTGTTGGCTCTAGCGCGCACGGTTTTCTGCTGCTTCTTGTGGGGGCACAAATGGAGGGCGAATGTGCAGATCCTCACACACCGTGCAGCAGCGCACCACCACATGCTCGCCCTCGACCTGATGCACACAAGTCTCCCAACGTGCTGCATGTTCCATCATAAGCGCATACGCGAAAACAACATGCACTGCTGTCTTCACGTGTACCCAGCTGCGACGCCCCCGTTTCCGTCTTGTATTCAGAGAGCGAAAGGGTACCAAGGTGGAGGACCTGTATGAGACCATCTCTGTCATCGGGAAAGGATCGGGTGCGTGTCGTTAGGTATCCTTTGACTTCCCCCCCCGACGAACCCCGTACCTCATCCGAAGCAGCCTGTGCGTTGAAAAATGTGTGCGCTGCCGAGCCCTTGAGTCAGGATGCGGGTATTGTTGGCCCCGAGCGACGCGTCTCCAAACGCAAAGAGATGTGTGCCTCTTTGTCCTATTTGGGTACCTGCCTACCCTTGTTGAAACGGACGGAGGGTGTAGTCCAACCCAATGTTGCGTTTGTTGAAGAATTTCAGAAGCAGCAACAAAGTGCGTTCAAATTGGTTATCTTCAGCCCTAAAATGCCTCCTTGCACACCGGTGTTTTCCGTCGTACTAACCTGCCGTCGGCCGCCTTTGTTATCGGCCCGCAGTGGGGATGATTTCGAAGGTGAAACACCGCCAAACCGGTGTGGAGTACGCCCTCAAGACTATCCAGCTTGAGAAGATCTCTCGTTCGATGCTGAAGGAGATGCGAAACGAGATCGAAATTCTTAAGCGGCTCGACCACCCCAACATCATCCGTAAGTTCATGATGCCGTCGTGTTTGCGGACACAGAACTGTGTCGTACATTTTCGTGTAGTGAAGCGGATGCCTCGTTACTGTTTCGCGATTCGCCTCCGTTGCGAGTCAGTGGCTTTCCCCTCCACGCATCGCGGGCGTTCATCATTTCCTTCAACCCATTGTTTCTGTTGCATCCCCGTCCCCCCGCAAGAATCGTTACGATGGGAGATAAGTGTTGGCCCCAAAACACTTCTGAGCGAAAGAGCTTCTTGTACAAAAATTGAGGACCCCAGACGAGCTCCCCGAGTGCTTGGAGTGACTTTATTGGGAGTAGGATTGGCAAATAATCTCGAAAGAGGTGCGTGGCGAAGGGTCATACCACCGCGTGAGAGACATCGCAGCTGAGTGCGCCCGTCCCCACAAGAAGCCCACAAGAAGACTAGTAACCTGTTGGCTGGATCGTGTATCCCTTTACCTGGTGTGCAAACATGCCTTCCTGCTGCTGCCTGCAGGAGCAATCGAAACGTTCGAGTCGGACAAAGAGGTATACCTTGTGATGCGGCTTTGCACGGGGGGCGATCTCCACCGCCGAGCCCCGTACGCCGAATCGGCTGTGGTCGACATCATCACCAAGGTAAAGCCTGCTTAAGTAGTATACTGTGTAGATACTGTATAGTGGTTGTGAAGGGAGGAAGGAAGGTCCCTCGAGGGGGTCGAGCATGAGGGTAGATACGTGGCGGTACACACGATCGCCACGCGTTGGTTTGGTTACTGACTAACCTGACACACGCCCCATCTCCCCCAAATCATACCGTGGGGCACGCTGTTCTATAGTGGGCCAAACGTTGGCCGGGCTTGATGTTGGGTGCCTGGCTCCAGCACTTGATTGACTCGGCTCGTTGTTGGTGTAATAGAGGTCTCCCACGTTGGGCGGGGAAGCCTGTATGGTGGTGGAGGTGGCGGCGGATCCGTGCTGGGACTCATGCTAGGATATCTGTGATGTTTTCCGGTGGTAACGATGATCGTGCAAGTTTCCGTGGTGTGGGTATCAAGCAATCGATCGGTATCTGGTGACATGTGGTTTTTGTAGTCTGATTCATCTCCTGATACCCAGCACCCCCCCCATGCTGCCCACAATTCGCTCGCTCTTGACTTGCGATCTTCCCTTCTGGTTTGCTTGCCAGCTGTTGTCGGCGACGTGGTACATGCACCAGCAGGGGATCGTCCACCGAGACCTGAAGCTAGAGAACGTGGTGTACGAGAGCACTCTGCCTGACTCTGACATCTTCATCATCGACTACGGCCTTTCCAAGGTGGGGCATCGCCGTCTTTTGTTGTGCGTGATGAGACTTTGCGTGAAAAGAGAAGAGAGAGGAATCCGACATGGTACACCGATTCGCCGTGTACTTAGTTCAACTTGTTGATGACGCGCAACACACCCGAACAGGAGCAAACACTGCCTGGTGTTGTGATTTGTCGAAAAACCTAATGGCGAATTTTTTGTGAAACGACCGACGATCCTTGGGTGGCATTGCGTGTTATCCACGGCCAATCGGGCAGACACAATATTTTTTGCCCGGCCTGAGACCCAATGTGAAAAGCATGTTTTACTCCGTTTCGACCTGGTTTTTCCCGTCAATGTGGATCAGAACATTTAACCCTATAGTAGAGCTCGCCGTTACAGCGCTCTGCGTGTGTGGCATGCGACGCGCGGCGCGGCTGGACTCCCTTTTCATCAAAGGCGGAAACGTACTTCAAGCGCAGCTGTGCCACAAAAAAATGAAACAACGCAACGCTCGACTTTTGACAGATTATCGAAAGGGACGAGGATCGGATGAACGAGGTGGTTGGCACCTTGTATACGATGGCGCCGGAGGTGCTTAACGGCGGGGTGAGTTACGACAAGTCGTGCGACATGTGGTCGATCGGCGTGATAGCCTTCGTTCTACTCAGCGGTGATATGCCGTTCGACACCACTACCAAGCAGAGGCTCATCAAGGCCGTAGAGGACGGGCGCTTCGAGTTCTCTGGCAGGCGGTGGAACAGAGTCAGCAGCGAAGCCAGGCGAGTGGCGATTGTTGGACGTGGTCGTGTTTTTTAGAAAGCAAACATAGCCTCACAGAAAGACCTGCCGTTCGAGATATAACCTCAGTCGAAAGGATGTGGTGTAGTCTTTTCAGTGAGTATTTTGTGGCGATGTTGTGTTGTCGTCGTACATACTTGTTGTACTTTGTGTTTTGCCGAGGGCAGTCAATCTAAGGCCGTTACCGTCTCCACCCGCCCTCTCTACCGAGCTATCGGGTAGCCTTCTCAACGTACCTCTACGAATGTCTACACAGCGTAGCAAGCACCACGTGAGGTGGCAAACATTGCGCAAAAGCAGGCCTAGTGTCCCCTCAGACTGACAGCGCAGACTGCTGACAGTCGGCTGTACCTTATCCCCCGGCCCATTCCCTCCAGCGTGAGTCGTGCGTTTTCTCTTGATCGTTCGCGGACGGGCGTTTCATGCTCGTTGTATTGTTTTCTCAACTCGTCGCGTAATCCTTTCAGGAGCTTCATCCGGCACATGATGGTGAAGAAGCCGTCAGGGAGATACACGGCAGGGCAAGCGTTGCAGGTACGAGGCTCGAGGGTACGCCGAAGCAGGGTCCTCCGCGCGTTTCAGGCAACGCGTTCTTGTTTATTTTTTGCTCGCTTTATTTGTTTTGCATCCTGGTACCCTTGCCCTCCTCTTCGATCCTCCATGATGATTTCGTCAACGAATTCGGGAGTGGGCCGATGGTGACTTGTGTGCACAGGGAGGACACCTTTAGGAGGCACGGCTCATCGTATGGGACCAAAATAGTATGAAACCGCTGACGGTGGCTGGCAAGACACGCTGACGGCGGGCAAAGCCGTAGTCCTCATGCGTGGGCTTGAAGTGTTTCGGCGGGGGCATGATATCCTGACGGCGTGAAGAATCTGATTAAAGATTGGGCTGTGTGGATCCCGACGATGCCGCTCAAGCTCACCAATCGCCGAACGCCTCCTGCTTGTCCTGCTCTCCATGTTGCACGCGCTTAAATTTTCAGCACAGCTGGATTCAAGGTTGCAAGCTGTCGGACGAGCAGCGGATGCTCTCGCCCGCTCCCACCGTGTTTGAAAAGGAGGATCACGACCGAGTCGTGGTTTCCATGAAGAACTTCGCTCTCTACAGCAAGGTGCGCGCCGCTCTTGGCGTGTTTTGCGGTTTTCTACCCCAATCGACAACTTGTCGGTCGGGCCACACTGAAAGTTCGGGCTTCCTTGAAGACGTCAAGAATGAAGTAGGAGTTTTATCTGCCAAGGGGTTTGCGTGAACGTCGGCGTCGCTTGCGTGCAATGTAGCGTGTGTGCCAACCGATGGTGCTCTTGCTCTGTCGTTTTCTTGTTCATGTGAGATGTGCCGCGCAACACGAGGTGAGTTATTCGAGGGCGTGTCGGGTGGCGTCGCTGTTTCTTGGTTCGACAGATGACTGTATCGCTCATGTGTGCCGAACCCTTCCGCCGCGGTCACGCGTGGAGACAATGGTGGTCTCTTTTGATGAAGGAGCGTGTTTGCTTGGTGCTCACCAGAGAATGAGGAGGGGAGAGCAACGCAGAGGATACTCATTCGGTGGCTGTACTAAGCCGATTTATTCCATCAAGCCTACAGAGTCGACGAACGATGCAGGACGCAGGGCCCCGGGCGTTTCGTAAGCTGCGGCATGTAACTTGCGCCGCTGTCCCTCTCCCCACCAATCCCCCACCCCCCATTCGGCGTCTGGAAGTGAAAGCACCAGAAAATAAATTAAGTCATACGTAGCTGTCATCCGTACGCAAGGAAGTAAGCACAAGATGCCGAACACCCTTAGCAGGATGCAGCTCACCCTTCATGCGACTCGCCAAATACCTCACGGCGCTTCGCGCTTGGTGATGTGAGAGCCTGGTCCGGTGAGAACCCGGCGTGCTCCGTCCCGGCTTTGTAGGGATGCGAGGTCAATGGTCAAACGAGTACGGCATGCACGACTATGAGTACACCCCCCCCCCCCCCCCCGGGTTTCCCTTTGTTTTTCCACCCGGTTGAATGTTACCG